GAGAGCACGCGCCAAGAAAAACATTGGAGTTGGAAACCAACCTCCACAATTTGAAACCAGCATTGTTAAAGGCAAAGAGCCTGAAAGCGTCGTGATTTACAGTAATTATTGTGTTTAACCTGCAAGTCAGATTTTTCTCATATGCTAACAAATATTTTAGATGAGGCGCAGAATATTGAAACATCCCAACAGGAGCAAGAGCGAAACCGTCCGCTAGCGGGAATCACGGACTTTAATAAATGGACTGTACTCGCTAGTGCAACCGTCACCAACGTGTACCCAGAATCTCCCGTCCTCCAGAAATGGAGGGAGACCTACAACAAGATGCGGGAAGGGAACCAGAGGGTTGTGGAAGCGAAGAAGCCAAACGGTGATGTTGTGATTTACCTTCTCGATATGGCTTCTTATGAGGCGCAGGATGGTAAGCGAGAGGATAACCTATCCGCACAGAAGAACCAGAATTCTGGAAATACTATGAATGAACCCTCTGGGGTAACTAAGGAGTTAAGAGGCTTCAACGGCGCACCGCTACCTTCTCCAAAGATCCGCCCGTTCCATCCAATCGTGCACGCAGTCCCGCTCCGTCGCGAGGCGCCCAAGTTTGGAACCTATGGATTCCCACCAGTGATGCCTGAATCGGAGCAAGGGCAATCAAGGAGTGCAGAGGTTATTAACCTTGATACATTGAGATCGATCGATTCGCGGTTGACGAAGATCAATAGGACGCTGGACGGCATTAACATTAACTCTCCATTGCCGTCTTTAAAAGTCGATGGAGGTAAAGGGGAAAGGCAGGGGGAGGGGGAGGAGAAAAGTGGAAATGCTAGCGGTGCAGGGAAATCATCATCGTATTTGTACCTTAGAAGCCCACTTCACGACGGAAAGAGTGGGACAGCGGATAATGTTTCTTCGTCTTCTTCTGTTGTTTCTAGGACTACTACGCCTAATCAGTCCCAGGGACAAACTCAGAGGAAAAAGGTACAATTTACGTCCGAACAGAAGAAGTATTTTGTCCGTGAAGACGGCACATGGGATTTTGTGCTTGTAGGAGACAACGGGAAGGAATTTTTAGACTCTGCTGCAGGTTCGGATGTGGCTACGAAAGCGACGACGGAGGGGGATGAGGGTGAGGGGGGTCAGAGTTGCAAGGCAGGAGTGGAGCAGGCTCCATGTATTAGGACTCCGTCATCGTCAACGCCATCATCGCCTTTGGAGGGGAAGGGGGAGCAGAAGAGTGGGAATGGACATTGAAGACTGGAAGGGTAGAATTCATGTGGGAAAAAGAGAGTAAGGTTTTTAGTTATTTATTTTTGGTGAGGGACGGAGGAATTTCTTGGAAAGGAAGAAGTGTATACTGTGGTATATGAACGAACAAAGTTAGATGCTTATGTTGGTGATTGACAACTGAACCAGGTTTTCGTGGGGCCCCGGACATTTCGCTTCAGGGTTTTGTCTACATATCGATTTATATTGCAGAAATTGCTGCAATCTTAGGATTACTATCATACAAAAACGCACAATATACTTCTTTAGCTAGAGACTTTGACAACTGAAGTTTTAGCTGATTACCGTAAAAACCTGTGAATAAAACCATACTCGAAATAGCCGTGAATAAGAAGACGACTGTCGATGCGAAACATCTCTATTACGTTACCAATGGAAAAGCCACAAAAATGCACACCACATCCTGTCTATTCCTCCTTGGCAGCGACCACCCACAACCCTACTATACGCCAGCCCCCATCTGTCGCCTGAAACAATCTACGTTTCTTTTCTTCAGATCCAGTATTATCTAGGACCTACTACACATCTGGAAACGGGAGTACTTTACTTATGATCTTCACACTAATGTTATTTCTTACCACAAAACTTTTACGAATAGTACTATAGGACATCTTATGTACAGATATGTGAAGGATGGTCGTATCAGGTATATTCAGTAATATTACAGATAAAATCACCTTCGTATAAATGTATATACAATAATAATTATAAATTCTACTATGAAAATAAATACATTATATCAGCTCTTTTACCTCAAGAAGTATGATCTTATTTAGCATTTATATCAGAAATTGAAACTTTAGGAAGTGCTATATATGTAACTTCTTACTCATGCCTCCAAGAATTAATAGCAAAGACACCGTCTGCTAAGCGTGTTCTCGTACCCAGGCAGAGGTTACATCACAACAAGATCAAACATGCTTCGACTCTTTGCTCATGTTGGGGGTCTGTGTGGTCCCTCAGAGGACTGTTCAACAACGTAGTCATTTTTCTTTTATATTACATCACCCCGCTTACCGCTATTCGCTATGGCAGGGCAACACGTAGTCAGTTCAGGAGATAAACCGTGGAACGTGATGATGACGGCGTGTTCAACAAGGCTTCAGGCAAAGACGAATCTCGTGCCAAACAACAGTGGACTCTGGCAATAATGATCATTTTTGTAAGCTATTCCTATATGATAACTCTAACCCAATTAACAGTTATAATAGTGGGACCATGTCAGCAAGTTAGACGAGCATGTTGTTACCTTGACGAGGGTATTGCTTCTACGCATCAATGAATTATTAGAGAGACTGACTCTTGACGGTAGGGTCTGGGGGATTTTAAAGATGTTATCGGGAAGCTTGGGGGAAGAATGGAAGGGGGCTTTAAAACAAATTTTGCTGGCTTGACAGCCACGATGGAAGCAAAATTTCGATTGGAAACGGAAATCGAAGGCTTGCAAGAAAAAAACATTAACGAAACCAAGCTGTTGGAAGTTAAAATAATCAATGGAACAAAGCTGACGAAATGGCAGATGTGCATTTTTAATCGGAGGGGCCTCAGCTGTAAGTCAAATATTACACTCGAGTGAGAGATATGCTAATTGCCAAATGTCACAATTTGGCTTGTTAAGGTCTATGCTGAGATTCATCTGTCACGTAGAAATTCAGTGTAGGTTTAAGGCGAGTATGAGATTAAAACTTCCAGCAAGAAGGATCTTATGTTGCGCTATCTCTTTTCCTTTATGATGTCGTCCTTTGTATAGTGGAGTTACCTTACCTCTTTTACTGTGCCACCAATTCTGTTAACTCTATCTCACTCACTTCCATCTCTATTTTCTCTCCTGTAACTACCTCTACTCCTGCCATAGCGAATATTGGTAAGCGGGGTTACGTAATATAAAAAAAGAATAAAAATAAAAATAAATCCATGGCAGGATTGCAGCTCGACGGCATGGCAAGATGGCAGCTCGAAAGTTGGACAGCTTAACAGCCTCGACAGCTCAACATCTCCATATCTAGACAAGGGCAGCACGATAGCTCGACAGTTCCTCAGGATGATGGTTCGGCAGCTCGATAGTATGATGGCATCGCAGTTCGATACCTCGAGAGCTCGACATATCGACAGTTCGACAGCTCGCCAACACGACAGCTCCACAGCTCCACAGCTTGATACGATGGCAGCACGGTAGCTCGACAATTCGGCAGCACTGGGATGTCATGCTGCGATGCTGCTATGCTGCTATGCTGGCTATGCTGCTATGCATAATGCAGTCGCGCTGTGCAGATGCCGAGCTGTGAGCTGTCGAGCCGGAGCTCATGTGGTCCAAATGGATATTCATTTCATGGCATGATGTTACCACTGCAACATCCGGATGTGAAATGAGCTTTGCTGATGAAGACTATTCAGCAGCAGCAGACTGCCGCAGCATACGTTCGGCCGCGGCATACGTTTGGCCGCAATATACGTTTAGCTACAGCATACAGCAGCAGCGTAGGACAGCAGCTTACAGCTGATAGCCCTGTGGCGTCAACATATGGCAGCAACATGCGGCAGTATATGGTACGGCACGGAAGTACATATTATATTAGAGTAAAACTACTGGACACTCAGTCCCTTTGGCCCTATGACCAAGAAACATCAACTACGACTGGGTTCGGTCCGGCGCGAGGCGTAGCTAGCTGTACTAGAGACGAGTGGCCGCGTTTCCTGCGTCCGCGGTAGATAGTTTGCATTGCTCGGCGTTCTATCATTGCATTGCAGCTCTGGGTAGGGAATTAGATTCATCATTGCGCAATCATGATAAGAGGCGATGTGTTGGGAACTTCATTCTTTGTCAGGTACTGAATTGAACGGCCAATAGAAAAGGTGCCTTATCATCAGATTCTATTTATTGAAATGGGGGGGCTCACATACTGAAGCGAAGCGGAGGTCATGTGGGGAGGCGAAGCCCGATGTGTGGGAATGAGAAGACGGAAGTCATCGTCGTGGGCGACGAGTATTGGGGCCGAGGGAGCGAGGCCGTTGTGGGGATTGAGGACATGTGTACTCTTGGATAAGACCATAAGGGGTGAATGTAGTCTCATACCGAGCCCCTAGGGTGAATGAGGTGATGTGATCTACAGTACATATATTCGTGGCGGAATATGTACTCACTGGTTATGATATTGGAACGTTGCATAAATCGCTATTCCAAATTTCGAAAGGGAAAACTAGAGTCACTCACGCCTGGGGGACTACTCGAGAGCTCTGGGGCCAAGAAGCTGGATGGGCACATTCCGTAAGTCTCTTCCTCCACTACGTATCATTGCAGGTACTTATTTTATTGGACTGGGTAAGGTTCTATTCACGGCGGGGCCTACGTGCGTTTTCTGAACGGGTCCGAAATCAAAATGCAGAAGGCGAATATCGCATACGATTTATGCAGCGTCCCAATGCTTTCCGAACCAGCGAGTAATTGTAATTGCACGTATGTACCCGTACCAAGGCAATTTCATCTGACACTGCGAAACATACCTCATACAACCATACTTCGCATGTCCAGGTATAAGATAACATATGTTCATATTCATAGAATTTTTATCATAAGCAATAACATTAGTATCAAGAACTCATGCATGAGTATTCTGCCCCCTAGATGATACTGGATCTGGAGATAAAAAAACGTAGTATCCGATAATACTATTAATAAAAGAAAATTGTTTCGTTTAACTCAGAAAAGTAAAAAGTATTGAATGGAGTGGGATTCGAACCCACGCGATTTCTCACTGCGAGTCACTCCAAGCTCCGAGAGCCTTTCCTGAACACAGCGCCTTAACCACTCGGCCATCCATCCATATTTCTATATATCTTTCATACAATATATATTCTAAGTTCGCTTTGTGATGACTGAGTCTATGCCGGTATTTAAGGAGATCGAAACTAAGTTTCTGATGCCATCCTTTTTGAGTCTAGGTTGAGAGACATCGTCAAATTTGTTGGCCTTAGAGTGTGAACACTTGCATGCTCTAATGACGCTCTCTTCCTCCCCGGCTCGAAGCTGACCTACCCTACCACTCTCCCACCAACTTCACCCCCTACCGAAAGAACTATCCAAAGTTTCTTGAGCTTGATATAACTTTTTTTTGTTACCCTTCAACTCCTTGAACATTCGGTATAGATGACCTCATTTTCTTCTCACAACTTTCCCAATCTCGAACCAACTTTTCCCCACAAATGAAAAAAAAAAATTCAGGTTTATTGTTTTGTCCAAGGGGCTTATTCCCCCGCTAAATTCCTAAGTACCCCGCCATTACCCCCGTTCCAGGGAAACAAATAACGCCAAAAGAAAAATATGGAAAAAGATATGCATGTATATGTACTTTATCTTTTTCTTTCCCTTTCCCTTTGGGATTGTGTTGTACTTTTTTTTTTTTTTTTTTCCTTTGAGTAAAAAAGGTTCGTTATACCTTGATACAGGATCGTATATGAAAGTATGTATATAGTACTTTGCCGTATCAATGTAGCTGTGTTGTGCCCTTTGCATCCAATACACAATTGGTCCCTGTCCAAAAACGAAAAAAAATAAGAAAAAAATTTAAATAAAAAGTAAAAATACATTAACAAAATTACGTTTTACTAATAATACTCTCACAAAAAAAGGTATAATCCATTTGATCATCACAAATTCGATCATATGTGTGTGCCGTGATAATAAGGTGTGTATGGAGTTTTCAACGCTACAGCCCAGAAGATCCAATACAAAAAAGTCCATAGAGACCAAGGTAGCGCGAGTAAGAACAAGAGCACGCGAGGAGAAACTCGAAGTCCGTGGTACCCAACGAGATAACGAAAATGACGAACAAGCGAAATGGGTAGAAGAATAGAGAATCAAGGCAGAATGAAACTAGAAATAAACTGGAGGTTTTTAACAACTCATTATAAAAGAAAAAGAAATGAAAAAAAAAAATTGGAATAAGAGATACTATGAGTTTGAGGGAAAAAGGTAAGAAAGAAACAAATCGAGGAAGCCCCCTGTAAATCCATAATCCATAACATATCTCAACGCACAGCGTTCACATAAACGCATCCCGTATAACTATGCAACCCGCACAGTTTGCTCCCTTAATGCTGAAGGATCCCCATGACCATGCCCATGTTCTTTTTTCCGTCTCCCTAACAATGTCGCATTATCTAAATTCAGCTCAAAAGGTCCATTCTTCTTCCTATTTTTCTGCACGGCGTTCTCTATCTTCCGATGTTGTTCTATTCTTGGATGTCTTTGTTGCTGTTGCGTTTGCTGCGTGGAACCAGCGAGATTCGTCCTTTTTAGTGATTCCGCAACATCATCGGCAGCAGGATGAGCCCCGCTCTGCCTTGGTACCTTATAGTTTCGTTCATCGTCCTCCTCGCTATCATATTCCTCCTCCTCGTCCATCGGGTTTAACGGCCCAGCACCTTTGTACCCCTGTTTCCATTTCTTCCGCCGCTTTCCTTCCTCCTCCATGCGGTGAACAGCATACCCAACATCAAATACTTCCCTCAGCGACACCGCACCAGGAGAGCGGAAATCCATTCGCTTAATTGTACCCGCACCAGAGGGTGAGAAATCAGTATCTATGATCATTGGTGTTGGTGCCCTGACCTTGTTGGCTGCTGGAGTTGCTAGTGGTGGAGCATCCTCCGCCGGAACAGTCTGTTCATCGGTTTGCTTGATCCATGGATGGTTCATGAATTGATCAATTGTGTACCGCTTCGCAGGGTCAACCGTAAGAAGGTGGCTGACAAGATCTTGAGCCGATTTCGAAATGTCATCCCACCAAGGAGAGAGAAACGTATACTGTCCTTTGGCGACCTTTTCTGTGAGGACCGATATACTCTCGTCGTAGAAGGGTGGGAAACCGCAGAGTAAGGTGTATAACACACATCCAAGTGCCCACATATCAACACTCTTGCTGTACCTCTCGTCTTTAACTATTTCGGGCGCCGTATATCCAACAGTACCGCATGGTGTCATTGTTTGCGATTCCCATACAACCTTCGAAAGACCAAAATCTGCTAATTTTATTTTCCCAATTCCTCCACCGCCAACTCCAGGGATGAATTCTCCTTCATCAGCTTTGTCTTCATCGTCAGGGCCTAGTGGCTTTGGATTCTTCGTCGGTATAAATAGAATAGGCTCAAATAAAAGATTCTCAGGTTTAATATCTCTGTTTGCAATAAATTAATATCGTGAAGGTAAATCGAAAGAGCAATAACTTACCTATGAACAACACCCTTCTCTTCATGCAAATAACGCAAGGCTTCTGCAACCTGCACAATAACATGTCTTGATAGGTTCTCGGAGAAATAAGTGAGTCTTACTATCTGGTGGAATAATTCCCCACCAGCTAACAACTCCAAAACCAAGTAGTAGTATGAGCGTGACTCCGAAAACGATATCAACTTAACGATATTTGGATGATTTAGGGTGCTCATAATCTGTACTTCTTTCAGGATATTCGCCCGCTGTATAAAAGATTCACGTTAGCCAAAGTTATATAAAGCTCCTGCTGAGGGAGACAGCTGGGGCTGATAATAACGCCCAAAAAAAATACAGAGTAATTAGGCGGTTGTTGAAACCGGGCAAATAAAACAAGCGATTGGTAAAGAAATTCCTTTCAGCCTCTTCAGTAATGTCATTGTGCGTGTGCTTAACGTTGCTTGCCCCTCACGACTGGATGCTAATTAACGCACCTCAACTGTCTTCGGCATTTTTTTAAGGTCAGGATGGAGGTGGTCGTCCTGCTAAACCCTCATGCGCCCGGAAAGTGCTGGAAGTTAAAAAGGGTCACATGAGATCAATAAAAGAACTAACGAAACAACATGGTATAAGAAGAGAGAGGTTAAAAAAAAAAAAGGTCTGATTATTTGCCCCCTTGCTCCCTCTGGATCCACCTAGAGGACCCTCTAGATAAGTTGTCCGGCAAATATTCATTAGGAATGAGACACAGAGGACATTTTGTGCCTCAGGAACAAAAACGTGACATAGATTGAGGTTGGAAAAAACACACCTGATGCGCATTCAACTCGTATTTTCGAACCACTTTGATTGCTACTTCCTCATAGTCTCCTTGTTTGTCTTTAGCTCGATAGACGTTACTAAAAGCACCATCACCCATTTTCTCCAGTAGTGTATACCGCTCCAGGCCTGGGTATTTAGGAAGCTTCCCTTTCGACTCTTTCTCTTCCGCGACAATTCGAGCCAGCAAAGTATCATCATACTTTCCTGCTGCATTGATGCCTCCAACAATTCCGCCGGGAGTGATGCCTATACCTGGGCCTGCTCCAGGGACAATCCCTGGATCATCTTCTAGATGTTGATGTTGAGCAGTCGCGTTTGCGATATGTACATCTGCCTGCGCAACAATGTTTCGATTTCCTCCCCCAGCAGCAACGAAAAAATCTGCTGGCGGTGCTGCCTTATGAAGTGGGACATCACCAGTTCCAGGCGCAGGATCAGAATGGACATGTCGATTTCGGTTGGTTGACGATACCTCGTTGTTTTGTATATTTTTGGCTTGTTTTCCATGCCGAATAAAATTCTTCAAGTTCTGTATGGCCTCCATTTTGTAGTGTTAGAGTGTGTCAGTCGTAACAATCCGAGAACCGCAAGGCAAAAAAGGTAGCAGACGGTTATTGAAAAGCCAATCTGCTGCGCGAAGCGGGGTAAGGGTGTAGATGGAAGGATGAAAATAAGACACAAAACCGGAAAGGATATAGGAAGAGAAAAGAACGATCAACTGTTGTTCACAAGGGGTTCCGGATGTAAATACTCTCACAAGGGTGTAGGTAAGTTATTGAGGGCGGGATACAAGACCGAAGTTACGCACAACTAAGACGCTTGAAACATGCAGATTGTAAACCAACCATGCACTTCGAAGCCGTGCTTTCACGCAAAGCAGGGAAGAGGCTATGGACCGTTGACCATAACTGTAAAGGCGAAAACAGGGCACAAACAGTTACGGATGCATAATAGGGTATACGGCTTCTTCCCTCCGCCAGAAGGCCCTGGGTGTAGCCCTTTGCATGGATGCACATGTGAACAGTATGTGGGTATTTTCTTTTTTCATCGGTGTCTCAAACGCAAAATGATGGAGGAACCTGCAAAGAAATGGAGGGTAAAAGGAAGAATCTAAGACACGCACCTCTATCACGGGCATGGTTGGTGAAAATGGGCAGTGTAGTATGCTGCTGCTTTGTCGCCTACGTTCGTTAGTTTGACGGAATCGTGCTCCCTGGGAGGTGATGCAGTCTCCGATCTGATCTTGCGGCGAGAATGGGGTTGTAATACTGCGTCAGCAAGGGGTGAGAGCGAAAGTTGAAGCTGCGGTTTGCAATATGCTTCGATTCGGGGGTACTGCAGTTATGTTCAGCTGCTGCAGGTCGGAAGCCCTACCGACGTAATGGTACAGCTGCGCTTGGAATGTGGAGGGGGCAAATTCCTTGCTTTTTGCGGCCGAGTCGGAACTAATGGCGGAGGCTTGGGGGTGTGTTGATGGGGCCTGCTTGAGCAGTCAAGCGACCGGGGGATATGACGACAGGCGGGGGGGGAAAAGAACGCAGGATTTGAAATGCGATAGATTAGGACGACCAAATGGAAATACTGGGAAGAGGTCGTGGGGCTCTGAGAAATGAAGTCGGGAATCGGCGGAGAGACGCAAGTAACTGGGAACAGGGCTTGGGCACCGAGTGGAGCGGCGCTGGGGTTGGGCCGGGAGCCTACCGAACGGCGCCTGGTGCCGAGCCGCGTGCGGAGAGGAGGGCGGGCAGAAGAACACAAGTGCACGGCAGGGCCACAAGCAGTCCGGCGGGTGC